TGGATTTTGTGTATTATATTTGTACATGCGAGGAGGAGACTTCATTAAATTATATAAAGGGTAACGACCTTAATTTCTGTAATAAAACCTTGTTAATTTTTGGTTGATTTGAAAAAGAAAAGAAGTTGTCTTAAAGTGTGAAACAATGTTTAATAAATCTGTCTTCTCAAAAGACAGAATTGGTTCTTATCAATTAAACTATATAACAAAACTTTTTACGTTTAAAACCGTTTTCGGTATCATCAAACATCTTTCTATCCACTGAAAACATATCCTGTTATTTACTTATAAACTGAACCATAGTTCATTTTAAATGTTCTTTTTGTTGTTGGTCAATTTCCCTCTTTTAATGTCATATGTCAAACAGAACTAGGTCTGGCTACCGCCCCCCCCCCCCATCCCCGACTGTAAGCGCATGATATCAAGTAGGTGTTGAATTTTGAAGCCTTAAAACAAGGGGCAGGACGTGAAGTGGTTGCACACTTGGTTCAAGCGAGCGAATTGGTTGCAAACTTGACAAAATGGAAAACACGGGTGATTTTTTGAAACGGGTGAACGAATTTTTGCCAGGCAAGTGGGTTTCTTTGTTTATTTTGAAGTTCATTAGTATGTCTATTCCATAATGCAATATATATACCAAACTCGGTTTAAGGTTTCAGCATCCTAGATTCTGTTTTGACGAAGTTATTGAAGATATAAACTGATCATGTAGATATTTTGAAATTTGACATGTGACTGTTCTGGTCGGTTTTTCTCCTAATTTATTCGAATTTGTAAGTTTTGAACTGCATTTAACAATAACAAAATATGTTTCTGTCAATGCAGTACAAATGGTTTAGTTCGCAAGTCCGAAGATAACGTTCAATACACAAAAATATATTGTTCAAGCACATTTTGGTTGCAGACTTATACTTCAAGCATTTTTGGTTGCAAACTTATTCTTATTCTATTGAAATCCATAGTAAAACTTTGCTAAAGGATTGTAGTAATTTATATTTATTAACCTATTTTCAATGGCAATTATTGACATTTATGTTCTTTTACTTGTTTTTGTTATAAATGTTATTTATACTTTCTTCTTTTACAACAAGTATGCACTTTATGTTTCAAATTACATGGTTCTCAGTTCAATACTATAATCATCAGTAAAAGCCTGCAAACAAAATAATAGCACATAGAAGAAAAATATTTATTGATACTTCAATTCTAAAATATGTCATCATATGTAAAATGCAAATGAAAACTACATACAAAAAAAAAACGTATGTGAGAGTACTGCTGTATGTAAGTGAATTATTTTCATTATAAACATAAGGACATTTGCACACATACGATGTTACTCGGCAAAATTTCAAAAGTTTATCAAAACCACAATAAATGTTATTTTGTTTGTTTCGTATGTAAAGATAGACATAAAGTATGTAAATGTACTTATAAACCAAAAGTTAAAATGACATGCTTGTCTATTACAATATTTCGGATTTGATGTACATATCATAATTATATGTCAATTGGTATTCTAAAAATTATTTTGACTATTAGATCATAATATAACTGATATACGATTGGTAATTTACATTGATTGATATGTGACAAAACTACTTAAAATCATTGTTCGAGTTAGGGAAGTTGGAAGATGTTTCGATTGGTCAATAATAAGGAACAATTTAAAGAAACATGTGAATAATGCCCATGTGTCAATGTTAATATAGTTTGTATCTTCTATACAATCAAATTTATTTCAAATCTCAAAAAAGAACAATAATGAAAGCTGTTTGTTGCTATTTTTCTCTTCTTTTCCTTTATAGTTTGTCATGCCTAAGACTTTGTAAAAAGAAAAGAAGTATATCGAGGAGAAAAATGATGAAGATAAACACAACTGATCTTCAATTTAGCATATTGTGTTTAATATTTATTTGAAAGACCCTGTGTTTGGATATATCTGCACGCATGTACAATTTGTATATATATTTCTTATTAGATGAACGGGTATAATTGCCTTAATATTGCTAATTATTTTTAAAAAAAGATAAGTTATTCCTCGCTAAAAATATGCATGCCACATTATTGACACAAAAGTTTGCAACCAAAAATGCTTGAAGTATAAGTCTGCAACCAAAATGTGCTTGAACAATATATTTTTGTGTATTGAACGTTATCTTCGGACTTGCGAACTAAACCATTTGTACTGCATTGACAGAAACATATTTTGTTATTGTTAAATGCAGTTCAAAACTTACAAATTCGAATAAATTAGGAGAAAAACCGACCAGAACGGTCACATGTCAAATTTCAAAATATCTACATGATCAGTTTATATCTTCAATAACTTCGTCAAAACAGAATCTAGGATGCTGAAACCTTAAACCGAGTGTGGTATATATATTGCATTATGGAATAGACATACTAATGAACTTCAAAATAACAAAGAAACCCACTTGCCTGGCAAAAATTCGTTCACCCGTTTCAAAAAATCACGCCGTGTTTTCCATTTTGTCAAGTTTGCAACCAATTCGCTCGCTTGAACCAAGTGTGCAACCACTTCACGTCCTGCCCCTTGTAAAACGCCAATGCACATGACATCTGTTTATGTGTAGATTTTTTTTCTGATGATATGTCTGCTATGTAAACATGTGTATTTAATTATGTTTAAAACAGTTTATCCTCAACACTATAATATAAATTTTTGTTAATTTGAAATAACATTCTAGAATAATTACTAAAGTAACGTGACATTGGGTTTTATTATGGAGAAAGTTATTGAATGAAAACATTAGTACAAAGTTTGTTACTCAATGTTACTGCAATCAAGTCAATGTGTGGTATTTACTATTAAGACTACATAGAGCAGTCTTGCTTGTTTAATATGTGGAAAAATCAATTCACCATGCATAGGCAATTTTAACGACGGTATTAATATTTTGATACTTAATAACATAAATTAATAACACGAGACCGTCGATTCGTATATTAACCTACTAATCGACGGTCTCCTACAATCAACGGTCTTTGGAGACATAACCATACCACGAGACCGTCGATATTTATGAAACTACTAATCCACGGTCTCTCTCCATTGACGGTCTTTGACAGTCTTTAGAATATATACAATTGTGCGTAAACTAACACATTTTTATAGATTTTTAAATTAAAAATATCGAGATTATACTACTACTTATAATAATAATATAGAGAGAGTTCATGTAACATAAAATCTTAGACCTTAAACAAGAAAAAAAAAGAAAAAGGAAAAGAATAAAGAGAGAAAAAACAATGTTTTGCTTATTGACCGGCTAACTTAATTTATAACTATATAATATCCATTAAATTGGTGTATAATCACGAGACCGTCGATTTGTGTAGTAACCTACTAATCGACGGTCTCCACGAGACCGTCGATATTTATCAAACTACTGTAGACTATAATCGACGGTCTCCCTGTTGACGGTCTTAGACAATTGTGTGCAAACTTACAAATTAACATTTTTTCTGTTTAAATTATTCTGACTATACTATTATTACTTATACAAGTGATAATATTATCGACGAAGTTAATATTTAAAAAAATACAAATAAAAACCACTCATAAATACAAAAAGGGGAAATCTGGAAAAATAACAATGATCTATCGATTAATTGACAGTCATCAAAAAATCATATTAATTGTATTATATCCTTTTTTTAGGAATATCTTACTTACTTTTTTTACAAATCATCAAAAAAGTTTGACACAAAAAAACTATCGTCTTAGAAAAAATGGTTATTGGCTGGTAACATAGATTAACACGAGACCGTCGATTCGTATAGTAACCTACTAATAGACGGTCTCCTACAATCAACGGTCAAACTACAAATCGACGGTCTCTCACCATTGACGGTCTTCGACGGTCTTTAGAATATATACAAATGTGCATAAACTCACAAATTTATGTATGTATTTTTTAAGCTAAAACATCGAAATAATATTACTGCTACTAATTACTACTATTACTTATGATATAAATAAAAATATTAGACATTGATATTTTCTAATAAATTTAATAGCATTTTTATATTCCAATATATTTCATTGTCTTAAAAAAAATAAAAAAATAATAAAATAAAATAATGGCATGTTAATTATGTTTTATCTTATTCATTTTTAAATCGTATTTGTTATTTTACAAATTATAAAAAAATACTGAAATCAATAAATCATTATCTTAGAGAATTTGCTTATTGACCGGCTAAATTAATTAATAACTATGTAATATCCATCAAATTAATGTATAATCACGAGACCGTCGATTTGTATAGTAACCTGCTAATCAACCGTCTACTACAATCGACGGCCTTTGTAGACATAAAACTATACCATGAGACCGTCTTTATCTATAAACTACAAATCGACGGTCTCTCCCCATTGACGGTCTTCGACGGTCTTTAGAATATATGCAAATATGCATAAACTCACAAATTTATATTTATACTACTACTACTACTACTACTACTACTACTACTACTAACTACTACTAACTACTACTAACTACTACTAACAATAATTATATAGATCTAAATAAAAATATAAGACCTTGATATTTATTAATAAATTCAACATTTTTATACTTCAATATATTTCATTGTTAATTTGTTTATCTAATTTGCTGCATAACAATATCTTATTTCCCCATATTTTTTATATTTTTCCCTTTTTTATCTAATCATTTCTTTCCCTATTAATATCCTTAAATATTGACATAAATAAAGTATCGTCGTAAAAGAAAATTGTTAATTGACCTATTATTAATTATTTCTAAATCATTCTTATCAATTCATCGCGAGACCGGCGATTTGTGTGATAACCTACTAATCGACGGTCTCCTACAATAGACGGTCTTCGACGGTCTTTGGAGACCGTCAAAGACCGTCGATTTTGCGGAGACCGTCGATTAGTATCCCCCTTATTTTGGTTCCCGGCATCTAACAAGTATTAGTAGCGAAAGGGGAAGGAACTCCAGACTAATTACTCCTCCGTGTCAAAAGCGGTGTAGTGGTAACTTTCTCACGGGGTCACCAACATCCGGGGAACTGTTGATAGGGACAAGCGCCTGCTCGCCGAAAAAAAAACACCGTTCTTCACGGTGAATTAGAATAAGTCCCTCGTAAGCGCCCCTTTTCTTTGTAAGTAGCAGTAGAGTAATTTCGGCGTCTTATCATTTATAGTTACATTGACGCAATATTTAAAGATAATGGTTGTCTATATTTTTCGCTTTGTTTACATCAGTGTACAGTAGCCAAATTTGAGAATGACGCATATTATTTTATTTCTCAGTCGTTTATTCTCTTTTTCTCTTGATTAAGATTTGATATTGTAGTCTTTATTCCTGATAGAATTTTTTTTTGTATTTGCTCTATTTATTAAATTTTGTGAAATAATTTGGAAGAAATTTTTATGTTCGGATTTCTTTATGTCTGTAATTTAAATTTATTAATAATTTCAATGCTATTGCTAAATAAATCTTTCAATATAGACAAAACCATCATTTTGAAGGGGAATTTCATAGTAGTGTTGACTTATTTTAATTTCATAGTAGTTTTGACTGTAGTTCTGGCTTCCATAACTTTATATGTTGCTTTTATTTTGACGTTGTGCGACAGTAAATATATGGGTCAACCCTATTTGCTAAGGGTTAGGCTACCAGAATTTTGGCAGTTTGTGTGCTGTATTTAAAAACCTTATATGAAATTAGGCAAAGCCTATGAACGGGGAAGTCGTTAAAAAATCCTTTCATTCTTTCCGTTTTAAAGGTGTCATTCGGTATTACATACACCGCTTCCGTTTTCACTCGGAACACTCGACGATTATTACTAATCCGAAAAGTTGAGATTTGTTCCGTTATCGGAATACCCCGCCTATTATCATTGAGTTACATTGTAAATGGCGGCGCCCGACTTGAACTGACACTGAAAATTTCATTGATAGGTATAGAATTCTATATATTTTTTAATTGTTTTTTATTTGATTTTCTTTTAAATATACACGTGTAGTCTATAGCCGGGCAAGCCAAAGCCCGGACCCGCTTCGCGGGCCCGGTCTTTGACTTCCCCGTATTAAAATCACCCTTATTAATCAAATTTTGGTCAAATTAAAATAACGTTTGATAAACAAATCAAATCAATTCATGTTTTGTTTTTAATTTAAATGAAACTTCAATGACATTGTGTACCCAACTATTTGTTAGGGAAATATGTAGAGAATGTTTACCAATATGGAGTCTGCTTCCAAATGAAATCTCGCGGGACTTCAAGTTTTGGGAATTCTAGCATCTATTTTTAGTAATGGACCATACACTATTTTTAGTAAGTGAATGATATTAAATAAAAACAAACAAATAATTCATAAATCATCACTCAAAACAATATAAATCCAATATGTTTTTGGTACAATGTCTGTTATTGAATAAATACACTGTAATTCATTATTGCAAAGCCATGTTTCCATATAAAAATAGCATTTGGGGCAGGGCTTCCGTTAACGGGCGTACGGCCGTAAATTACGCCCGAAAATCGTATCTGTACGCCGAAAATTAAGATCAATGACGTACCGCTGACTTCCAAAAATTTAGGAATACGGCGAAAATCGTAAGCCGTGACTTAGCCACAACTATTTTCCGACCTTTTCTCACTTTCAAGGCGTACGATTGGATTATTTATTTAACTCCGCCCCCTGAATTGAATGGTTGACATGACAGCGATGGGTGAAATTATGCGAATGCACCTGGCGCGTGACGAATTAGCGAGTGTTGATTTATGACCTTGATATTAAGCGTGAAAACAAAGTGATTGGATTAGTTGTTTGTTTTGTACGGATAATGGATAGTTAATTGACATAAACTGTGGTAGGTATCTGTTTTTACTTTAATTAGATAAAATGATTTATTCATTATTGTGTGCATCGGTAGTTTGAATGTATCCGAAAGTTTGCCGAGTCGGCGAAGCGTGTTTTTGTCTTTTGATTTTTTTTTCCTTTTTGAAGTTAAAGACGTTTTATTTTCACACATTCTATAGATGTTGATTTGATTTTATATTTTTTTCACTCGCTAATTATGAGAAGCAAAGTTACATTTAAAAATCTTTTTCCCTACCCACTCTCAAAAAAATTTGGCGTATCTCAAAAACGTAATTAAAAAAAATAATTTGGTCAAGAACGGTGTTCGAAATTATTTTCATATGAATCCAAAAAGAACAACCACACGCGTACATTCAGCTATTTTTTTTCTTTTTCTTTTTTTTTATTATTTTCATAAAACTTTCAATTTACAAGCCTGATTAAACCTGATTAAATTTAACCATTTTGGGTTGTTATTGTGTTAAGATTCATTTGATACACTGAAATTGTGTTCGGTAGTAAATAATTTTAAACACAAGAGATATTTAAACAACAATTTTTATTTTACAAATAAGAATTATAACAATGCTAAAGGATGTCATGTTTTTTTTTTATTTCAGGAAATCTACAGAGATCCACTCTTTTAAAACACAATGAATAAATGCTGTGCAGGCTGATCACATGAGACAACAGCTGTATGGTACTGTTCCAGAGGTAGAAAAAGAAGAACCCATCATACACATTTCAGAATCTACTTGTACCATGATTGATTAAAGAATTAAAAGTTTTCTAGAAATATTTTTTTTTGTTATACCAATGAGCAATTATTTGAATGTTATCACTGAAGGGTTCTACATGGCTACCACTGTCCTTAAATAACAACAATACAGTCCTTTTCAGGGTAATGTTCTTACTTCTATTGAAAATATTTACCCAACAATCATGTAAAGATACTTTGAACTTAAAACATAAAAAGGAATGACTTTTTCAGAATCTTGTGATTAAAATAATTGCTTTTACTTGTACCATCCCATACTATAAATCAAACATTGAAACATGAAAATTATACGCGTAAGAACAACTGACTTCCAGAAATTTACCTCATGACTTCCAAAATTCCTTGAAAGGAAGTCCTGACTTCCTAAAAAAAAATCCTAGTGGAAGCCCTGATTTGGGGTCATGGGTCACCAAATGTCATGCAAAGGTATCCGAACCTAAATTCTCCCTAGTCACATGATAATTAGGGCAGCAATGGCGGCGAATTTTATGAAATGTAAACCCACTGAAAAACTTTGAGGCATTATTTCATCAATCTAACGTTCTGTGTTCAAAAATATAGACTGAAGTGTCCCAAATATATCTGACTACCTGTATTAAAATAGCTTTTGTCCAGATCACGCAAATTTATTGAATAACAGCATGACATAAATATGTCAGTCACAGTTCTGGTTGACTTTCGATATGGAATTGGCTTCAGTGAACAGGTCTAGCAGTACTATAAAACCTGTTTTTTGAAGTCTCTTTAGCTACAGTGCCCTCCAAAAGTTCTTGGACAAACTATTTTTGGTAGTGTTTACACAATTAAGATGATGTAAAACATAAATCATAAGTAAAATGATGATAAAGTGGTAAAAGTATTTATTTAGTTTTGTATAATCACAAAAAACAGTTAACATCTCAGTATAATGCACAAACAACAAGAAAATTTGAAAACTGTGGACATCAACATGATGTTAATTACGAAAGAAGTGATCTGCTTCAGTACTTTGTGTGACCTCCTCTGGCCCTTATAACAGCTTGAATCCTTTGTGGCATACTTTTAACAAGCCTTTCACATGATTCAGGACGTATTGAATCCCAAACAGTTTTCACATTTTGTTCCAGCTCACGGAGATTATGGCTGTGTTTATTTCTTAGTTCAATTTTCACAATCTGCCACAAATTTTCAATGGGGTTAAAGTCAGGTGACTGAGGGGGCCATTTTAAACACTTAAATTCATTCTCCTCTTTCCATTGTTCAACAATTCTAGCTCTATGGCAGGTAGCACCATCATCCTGGAAGATGAAGTTGTTACCATACTCCAACAAATGCGCCAAAGGTATAGCACAGTCCTCAAGAATCTTGATTTATCCATGTGAATTAAGTCGGCCATCAACACAAGACAGAAACCCAGTGCCCCTATAACTCATTGCTCCCCACACCATCACACTACCACCCCCAAATTTGACAGTTGGGGTAACACAGTCATCTCTTAATTGTTCACCTGAACGTCTGCGAACATAAACACGCCCATCACTTTGGAATAAATTAAATTTAGACTCATCTGAGAACATCACAGTTGACCAATCAACCCAAGACCAATCAGCATGCTCTCTGGCAAAGTTCAAACGGAGTTGCCTGTGTCTTGGTGAAAGCAAAGGCTTCTTTACAGCCAAATGGCCATAAAGTCCTGCCTCGTGTAGACGATGTCTCACTGTTGTTGCGGAAGCAAACACATTTGAGCATTGCCAATCTCTTCGTAGTTCATTCACTGTTGCTTTCCTGTTTTTTGCAGTGAAGCTCGCACTAATAGACGGTCATCTCTTTTGTCTGAAACTTTTGGCCTCCCTGTCCTAGCACGACCTTTGTGACTACCAGTGGCCTCATACCGTTTCAGAGTGTGGTAGACTGTTGACCTGAAGTAAACAACGACAGATTAGAAAATAAAATTAGAACAGCAAGATTAATAGCATATAGCAGTAAAAGAAAAACACAATTTGGCTTAAAATTTTGAACAAGACACATTTTAAGAAAGCTAATCTTTTACCTTGGTCGATCCAAACGAATGGCGATATCCGCTACTGAGACTCCCTGCTCCCTCATAATATGGCATTGTAATCTTTCCTCTAATGTTAGCATTTTGAATTGGAGTTGATATACAGGTTTCATATTTTCAATATAAAGCACATTTTTGATGCAAAACACGGTGGAAACCTTTCTTAGGAGAAACTTAATTTTATTATTTGAAATTTCATATCTTTACTAGAGAATGTTAAATGTCAAATATCTAATTTATTAAAGCACTGTTATTGCTGAATTTTTATGAAATGCTTTTTTGAATTACCCCCCTTTATTCTACTCATTAACAGAACCAAATTCAATTATAAACCATTGAAAGATGAAACAAAGTTTGCGAGTGAATGATAAATTTTAAGTATGTCCAAGGACTTTTGGAGGGCACTGTATGTTGACTGATTTTGATCACAGGCATTTAGGGCATTTTTCTTGTCAATAATTTTAAATTGTATTTAAATAATCTCCAGTTGATCTTCAAGAACAAAATAACTATCCAGCACCCATTTACTTTATATAAACTATGTAAGGTATATTATCCATGCAACCAATTTCCTGACCAAGTCAGTAATAACCAGCCTCGCCAACAAATTGTAGGGAATAATATTATTTCGATTTTCAAAGCCTAGCAAGGCCTTTAGCGTACTCGTATTTATACTGTGATAGAACAGTACACTGAAGATAGCCCTATTGCAAAAGTCCACCAATAATCACCAGAGGTCAAAAACTCAACTTGTCCGCTCTTAGTTACAGGTAAAATTTCAGAGAACTTGATGCGGGACAAGTAGAAAAATACTGCCTGCAAATTGGATTTAGAAGCTATTACTCCTGCAGCCTGCAGGACAAGTGACACTGAAATATTTTCTGATGCCTGTAATCATGCCAGAACTCTGATGCCCTGGTATTCTTTCTTTGAGCATGCTATGGAATAAAGTAAAGCATATCCTGATAAAAACTTTTGATGAACCAAGTAACTTCTTTAAGGTGACAACGGAGTCAATTATCACTGAAAATACCTAAAATGAGATTTTTTGCTAAGTAGATTTATCAACCTTTTCTTAACACATTCGTGATTTAAGTTTGGAAGCAGTTAGTCCAAAAAAAGTGTTTCTAAACGTTTTAAAACGGTACCTATACTATCTGTATCTGCTATTCGCGTAACCTGTCGATAATTGATAACGCTCCGCCCCCTGTTGAGGCATCAATGAGGGAAATCGGTAGTTCCATATATCCGTGAATTACAGGTCCATACTGGTCCATACTTCTCGTAATACATGTATCGTACAACTACCGTACATCTTTTATGAATATCTCAACAATAACCCTTTTTTATAAGTTAAGAAATTGTCGGCCAATGTACGTAACATAATGTATGAAACATAAATAATTAAGCATAGCGGCAAATCGCACGACCACGGGGTTGATTAAAAATGTAGTTGCTAAAATATCCATAATGTGTGAAAATAATTTGTCTGTCCCGTTAATCTGATAGATATTACATTGAGTTGATAGACTTTTGTACGGATTCAAGGGCTTACTTTACATTCAACCTCATTTTCTAACAATGTCAAGTAAAACAACAACATAACAGACAACATTTTTTATGTGAACGCCTATATATGACTTGTGGTAAGGTGTCCCTGACAAATTTCTTAACCATTTTAGATTGTCTAAGGATGATTATTTCTCTATGAATAAAAAAAGATATTAAAATATATTCTCAGTGAAAATAAATTGTTCGCCAGTAAATCGGACACAGTACTTATAAATCTGGGACAAAGTATGAAATTTATTGTCTATCCCAGTAGAAACTGGATCTCTATGCCGTGCATAGATGATATTCATGATAATAGAAGTCAAGAAGGCCAGATCATAATGATCGAGTAATACCTTTTATTTCTATTTAAATATGTGAAGCATTATCAATTTGGTGGAAAAAATATATAATATCCCGTTCTTATTTGTACATCTACCATGGACTTTAAAAGACTATCAGAAGCTCAGTTTTTTCTTATTTTATTTTATATTTTAACGGAATTTCATACACAAATGCACAGGCAGAGTGACACTGGTATAATACAATAATATGCTGATGATACTAATAATAAACTTCAAAAAGGAAACAATTAAATACCCCGCCAGCGGTGCGCAAATGCGTTCCATTTCCCCCCACTGAGTGCCTCAAATTTTACCGATAGTCACGTGACATGTGCGACAGATACCAGACGGACAGTAAATCACGTTAAGAATTGAAGAAATTTCTGTTATAAACTGATATTAATCAGCAGCTTTTTAATTGGTCAGATGTCACTGGGTCATAAAATGTTGTTAGAGTATGTTACCGCAAGTTGTGACCCTCTCTGGTGCGATATTTGTGTATTATGCAATTATTTAGCGTGAAACGTAGGGGTCCGAGAGAGAACAGCCGATTTATGACACTTCGTTTGATGCGGGTCGGACTAACTTTGAATCAGCATAACTTTTTTAATAAGCAATTAACATGCGGTTTAAAGCACATGAAAGGAAATTCATTTACGGAGGGAACCGTGTCAGGGATTTTTGTTTGCTCAATCAGCGACTTAATTATCTTTAATTACGTAATATGTATGGTGAAAAAAGCCGCATAAAATGTTTGACGTTACGTAATATTTTTTTGAGAAAAGATAGAAAAAATTTGAGACACGGTTCCCCAGATAATATAAGTATGGTTATTTTCCAAAAGTTTGATGTGAAAAAAAAAAAAAAAATGACTTTGATATGACGATTTAAAATTTTAGGATTTTTATTCAAAATCAATCATTTACAAAGGCATTTTTTTCAAATATGTTATTTTTTATGATGATCAACGACATTTAATGCACAAAGATTAAATAAATAACAATTATTACTAAAATAACTTGGTTTAAATGACATTTATGTGAGTACCACGGAAAGTGTCTGTTGTCACCTTAAGAACATACACTACTTGATATTCTTAGAGAGGTAAAAAAAAATCAGCACTTCACTGCCAACTTTTCAAAATGTTTTACCATTTGATTCAGGGTTAATCTGTTTATAAAAACAATCTGTGTGCTTTTAACATTTTTACAAATAACTTGTTTTTCTCAAAAAATGAAAGGTGAATCCGTCATTTATATTCTCCTGGAGTCTGTCTCTCTGTTTTGATAGAACTGTGCCTGTAGGAGGGCAAATTTTCTCATTGTTTTCCCTTGTACTGTTGACCCTTGTACTCTTGACTGTTGTAGGTAGAGCTGTAGGTAAACAATTCATGGATCGTACCACAGATCATCAAATTGTTCTAATACTAAAAGAAATAACAGTATTGTTTAGAAAAACATATAAAATGAAAAATAAAAATACTTGTAAAGAATGGGTTCTACATTACTTCCTATAGCAACAGTTTAGAATTTAAGTTTAGTTGAAAATAAATGTTTGTTAACAGGGTAAATGCATGCATGTGAAATGTATACAAGACAAAAGTGAAATGAAGGTTTTATGCAATAACTTAGAATTTTTTAATTTTTTTAATGTGTGAATCGCAATCCAGAGTTATTCGGACTAACAAATGCCTGATCCAAAGTGTCAAGGTCTGAATTAAGTTGTGTAATTGATGTTATTGACAGTGTTTTTTCTGATAAGGTTTTGTTACGCGTCCCAAAACTTAAAAGCTGCATCAGATGAAAGGACTAAATGTTAAAATTTGGCTTTTAAAGTTCAAGAAGCCAGTATTATTTAAAGCCATGTTAAAAGGTCCCAAAGAGAAAATGAAGATGATAAATCCCACTAAAAGCCCTGGCACTGTTATTTATACGTTTCTACACTATAACAAAACACAGCATATTGAACTGACAAAATAGGGGTGTAACGCTTACTCACATATTTGCCATTTAAATGTTAGAAAAGTGATGTGCAGTTTATCACGTTTCATCGGTCTAATAAGTCTCACCTCATGAAATTATATGAGATATTCAGACAAAAATTCAGATTGATGTTTGTAATTGTTTCAAAAAACGAATACTTCATTACCTAAAAAATGGTTGATAGCAAGGTTTATCTCATCTTCAATTTTCATAATTGAACAAAACTAGATATACAATGTATGTGTTAAAACCTCAAATTTATAATGTAATTTAACTGTACATCAGTATATTATGTTTGACTGGAAATAAACTTCACCAAACAAACTTAAAAGAATTTTTTCTCTTTTAATAGTAACCAACAACTGATAGATTAACTGAGATGCCACAATTTTCATTTTCAGTTTGGGGTTAAAACAACATAATGTCTGATGAGAAAGGAGATAAAGGGGATGAGGAGAAGGTGTATGGGGGCTGTGAAGGGCCAGATGCTATGTATGTAAAACTTGTGTCATCAGATGGTCATGAATTTATTGTTAAAAGAGATCACGCTTTAACATCTGGCACTATTAAAGCTATGTTGAGTGGGCCAGGTATGTATTATTATACTAACTATTGTATTTTCATATTAGTTCACATTCGGATTTCATGATAAAATACTGATAACTCAGTTATTATATTAGACTTCAGGAAGCATGCTTACGATTTATGTACTCCATTTTTAATGTAGGAATTAATGTTAATATCAATGATAATGAATACTCAAAATTTGTTAGATTGTAGGTTTAAGTCCCACTAGGGACTTTGGATTCTTTCATGTGAGGAAGCTATCCAGCAAGTTTACATAATGTTGGTGGTTCTACTCGGGTGCCTTTTTGTACCTAATATAATGCATAAAGGTACCCAAGGTCTTCTTCCATCAGTAAAGCTGAAAAGTCGTCATATGACCTGTACAGTTGGTGTTGGTGCAGCTTAATAACCCAACAAAAAAAAAAGGTTCATATAAATTATATTTAATGTGTATTAAGATTTATCTTGCTCTCTGCTGCTTGCAGTTTGCAATAATTTTGTTTGAATTTTGAAAAAAAAATAGTTCCAAAATAAATGTATGAAAGAAATAATATATATGTTGTATATGTTGGTAAATTTCGTTTTTAGCGAATCGGGCATAAACAAAATCAATATTTCACAATTGAAATCAATCTTGAAGTTAAAGCTAACTGCTGCATATTTTGATTCAGAACATTTAATTCTGTTTGTATACAGTATTCATGTGTTTTAAGTAACAGAAACATTCCAGGTTACAACTTTTTAGATAACAACCAAAAGATTATGGAAATGACATAATTTTACCATTTTGAATAAAAAAAAAGCATTCGATAATAGATATATATATAGCTTTATACCCTTTAAGAAACGTAGAAGGTACATTGTAAATGAATATTTGTCATGTTATGATATTTTTTGTGTCGCCTTGAAAAGGTGACATATAGGGGTTACTTTTGTCGGCGGCGTCTGTGTCGGCGGCGTCTGTGTCGGCGTCCCCCAAAGCTTGTCCGGAGCATAACTCAGTCACTATAAGTCTGATTGACTTCAAACTTGGTATGCATGCTTCTTTCAATAACCCGAAGTGCAGTGCACAAGGACCGTTACTCTGCAGTTCTTTTTTTTTTGAGTTATTGCCCTTTGTTAATTTTCATACTTTAATTTTGTCCGGGCCATTTCTCTTCAACTAAAAAAGCTATGGACTTGAAAATTCATAGGATGATAGATCTCATTAAGAAGAAGTGCAGTGCACAAGAACCGGTACTCTGCACTTCCTAATTTTTGAGTTATTGCCCTTTGTTAATTTTTATACTTTATTTTTGTCCGGGCCATTTCTTCTAATGTATAAAAGCCATGGACTTAAAACTTCATAGGATGATAGGTCTCATTAAGAAGAAGTGCAGTGCACAAGAACAGGTACTCTGCATTTCTTATTTTTTGAGTTATTGCCCTTTGTTGATTTTCATACTTTAATTTTGTCCGGGCCATTTCTCCTTGAGTATAAAAGCTATGGACTTGAAACTTCATAGGATGATAGATCTCATTAAGAAGAAGTGCAGTGCACAAGAATCGGTACTTTGCATATCTTAATTTTAGAGTTATGGCCCTTTGTAAATTTTCATACTTAATTTTTGTCCAGGCCATTTCTCCGAAAGTATAAAAGTTATGGACTTGAAACTTCATAGGATGATAGATCTCATTAAGAAAAAGTGCAGTGCATAAGAACTAATACTCTGCATTTCTTATTTTTTGAGTTATTGCCCTTTGTTGATTTTCTTACTTTATTTTTGTCCTTGTCATTTCTCCTCAAGAATGAAAGCTATTGACTTGAAACATCATAGAATGATAGATCTTATTGATAAGAAGTGCAGTGCACAGAAACTGCTGATCTGCACTTATTATTAGCTCGACTATTCGATAAGAATAAGTAGAGCTATTGTAGTCACCCGAGCGTCGGCGTTGGTGTCCGCGTCGGCGTAACCACTTATGTTAAAGTTTTTGTAATAGTTCAAATATTTTCAAAGTCCATTGACATATGGCTTTGGAACTTGGCACACTTGTTCACCATCATGACCCCAACCTGTAGACAGGAGGAGGTAACTGTATCAAGCATTTTGACAGAATTATGCCCCTTTTTCGACTTAGAATTTACGTTAAAGTTTTTGTAATAGTTCAAATATTTTCAAAGTCCATTGACATATGGCTTTGAAACTTTGCACACTTGTTCACCATCATGACCCCAACCTGTAGACAGGAGGAGGTAACTGTATCAAGCATTTTGACAGAATTATGCCCCTTTTTCGACTTAGAATTTACATTAAAGTTTTTGTAATAGTTCAAATATTTTCAAAGTCCATTGACATATGGCTTTGAAACTTTGCACACTTGTTCACCATCATGACCCCAACCTGTAAACAGGAGGAGGTAACTGTATCAAGCATTTTGACAGAATTATGCCCCTTTTTCGACTTAGAATTTACGTTAAAGTTTTTGTAATAGTTCAAATATTTTCAAAGTCCATTGACATATTGCTTTGAAACTTTGCACACTTGTTCACCATCATTACCCCAACCTGTAAACAGGAGGAGGTAATTGTATCAAGCATTTTTTTTTACTATCAAGCACTAAGAATAGTCGAGCGTTGCTGTTCTACCGACAGCTCTTGTTTTTTTAGTTATTGCCCTTTGGTATTTCCCATTTAATTTTTGTCCTGGCCATTTCTCCTAAACTACATTGTTCACAAGGCGACACATCCGAATCATGGAGTTCTAGTTTTACATAAGAAACAAGGAATTAAAGTGTGTTTTTATACCAACCTAGATTTAATTCTATTAATTTTTTGCATTTAACAAAAGGACATTTTAGAAAAATAAATACTTTCTTGTTTATATGAAAGCATAAAGTTAGATCATAAAATGAATTCTTTTCTATCTTGATATTGAATTCCAGACCTGTATAACTATAATTAAAATTAATTATTTTGGTTGTTGCAGGTCAGTTTGCTGAAAATGAAACAAATGAAATAAATTTTAGAGAAATACCGTAAGTATATACATGTACATTTAAATCATTATGTATAGGTTAATGTTTATAAGTACATATTTACAAAGTTAAACTGGTCAGACTAATTAAATTTTGTAAATGCGTACCTGCTTAGTGTTAAATTATCTTTATAAACAGTCGATTAACTAGACTGATTAACAGTTTGCCGATTTACCAAAGTAAATGTTTTACAACTCATTTGAAATACTGCAATCCTGTTGGACAAAAAATAATTTCTCTAATAAACTCTTACTGTGGTTTATGCAGTGCACCGTATTTCCCAAATGTACGTAATGAATGGACCATACAGTTTTTAATGTCTATGTTATCATTCTTTATAACGCATTACGATAAGTATAAGCTTTCACTAAATAATCTTATTTTGATTGAAATGGTTTATTAAAGACAATACAGTGAAATTTACATTCTTCTTTAGTGTCCTGATGTATTGACTGTATACTGTGATAGTGTTCTTACTAATTACACCATACTAATATCTTTATGATTTATGTAAAATAACATACATTATTATGTAGCATGATGATTTAAAAGCTTAATTTTATTAAACATTTATTGACGAACCAGTGTCCATTACCATTAAATTGACAACAACAGGAAACGTTCATTTATAGGCATTTTCTTTATATTTGTAATAAAGATTTAAAAAGCTGGGCTGCGTTTCATGGAGAGTCCTAAGTCTTATGTTTGTCTTAAGATAAAAATTTTGACAATTTTGCGTTTAAAAGAAAGTCTTAAAAAAGGTCCTAACTATTGACTCCTATACTTATGTCCAAAAACGCTCCTAAGTCTAGAAGTGTTTTAAAGGTATCTTAAGATTGTCCTAAGTCAAAACCACTCCAAAATCAAACAACTTTTTGTTGAATTTTGTTTTGAAAACTATCTAGAATGATAGATAATGGTCTAACTAAGAAAATAAATCCGAAGACCAATATCTTTAATTCAGTCATTAAAGCTGTACAGACGTTTGAAGAGTTGTTTACATGACGTCACAATGTAGCGCCAAATATGGCGTGCAAAACAAGACGCATCTATAAATAATAATATTACTGCGCACTGTACAATTGCAGTTGCGTAGCAAGCAAGGGGGTTCGTAACCGTTTTTTTAAATTACCGCCTCCGTGGTCGAGGGGTTAGAGTCGATGACTTCTAATCCATTTACCTCTCTGGCATGGGTTTTATCTCCGGGAGATGCTTTGGTAGTTTAGCGCGGAGGAAGGGAGTCTAGTACTGGTGTAACTCTCCAGGAACGATGGTTAGGAAACTACCCGCCTATATGACTGAAATACTGTTGGAAAAAGGCGTAAAATGAAACAAACAAACAAACAATACTATCATGCAGGGTTGTCATTAACATTTTTTGCAGAAGGTTTGTTTTGAACTTGAGGCGGTCATTTCTGTCTTTATCATGCATAACAAAGAGTGTTTTCTTAATTTTGAGGCGGCCCATAATGCATTTGAGACAGGCATTTTGGCCTCCTGCCGCCTCTAAATGACAACCCTGAGACTATGAAATTAAATAAAACGGTCATTTTATCGTTTTTCGTGCAATATGGTATATATTTTCACTCAACATGATAAGAGGGCAATACATTGCTTTTATACTTGCTATAATCAATTACATAGTAACTCCAATCCAGGATTATGTGCGTGCCATTGTATTTTGTAACTTTTCAGGAGAGTTAATTGGTCATAAGTCTTAAGTTAAGACAAAAGATAGGACAGTTACTTGAAACGGTCTTTATTGCAAAAACTTTTTCTCATAAGTCCTAGGATTTAGGGTTAACTAAGGACTCTCCATGAAAAATAAAATTGGGAGTTGTTTCCCTTAGATTGTTTGAAAGTTCATGTAATGGAAATTTTGCAAGGAAGTATGTTTTATGTGGTACAAGTTTCCTATGTGAAATGATTCAAGCTTTCTATTTCTTTCACATCTCTCCCTTGACAAATCATCAACGCATTGTTGTCAGATATACATGACATGATCTGTATAGCTAGGGATCAGTATTTAAAAAAGCACTAGTGCTTATTTACCTGCTTATCTTGAAATGGGATATATGCTGTCAAAAGGAACATGGAGGTTTTCAGATTGTTCATACACAATGTTTGTTCTTCAGCGAGTGCATATGGTCGTGGGTGTTTTTGCAATCCAGCACCTAATCATGTTGGTCATGTTAAAATGTTTTGTACTGGAATGTATGTGCTACTTTTCTGGAATCAGATATTGTCTGTAAATAAGACATTTTATCTTTGGTAAATAGTTATATACAGTATTGATCTGTTGTATAGCAAAGAGTGATTTAATTGTTGACTGTCTAGACCCTGCAGAACTTTTGCTAATGAACAACCTGATCTGTTGTGTTTCCTGCATTATGTATCAAATTGCATACCAAGGTCAAAAAGAGTTTGAAGGTCTCATTGATTTTGAATCAATCTGTACATTCCTTAATTCCTTAGACCTACCGCTAATTCATTGAATTAAGTCAAAGTTATTAAATTAGTAGTTATATTAATTGAAATTATAATTAGATTTTATTTATTTATTCAGTTGTAGAGATGTAATAAATTGCAAATGCCATTTATGCAGCTGATTTAAAGTGAAGACTTTCTTCTGACATGTCAGTTTGCATATAGTGGGAACATCTGATATGAGTTTAGCTGCACTAACATTAGTGAGCTTGTGTGGCAGTTTGGCCAGGGTAACAACTAAGGTTATTCAATTGAAACTTGGCTTATGTTTTCAAATAACAATTTTAGCTCATCAACCAAGACCCATAATTATCATGGCCTTTTCATGAGTAATAACCCTTTATAATCATTTCTGGTTAAGGTTTTACACCTGAAAATTTAGGCATCTTTTTATCATAATTGAGACCCATATCTCTAGAATGATTTTTTACTGATTGTCTTTCTGAACTTAAGCAATGAGAGCCATGCAAAATATTTTCTACCAAACAGAAAATAGTTGAGCATAATGACATGTGACAGCACTTGTTAGATAATAATGCTGATAAACAGTGAGCAGTTTAGTCAGAAAGAACATGTAGAGCATCTATGGTTCAAACATTAGTTCATGAGCTTCAATTCATTGGTACATGCATTTTATATTCTAACAGGCTCAAGTATCATTATGAATGACTTAGTACATTGCGAAGCTTCTTTGTCTATGGTACAGCACCAGAAAAAGAAAATGACATATTGCTCAATAGAAAATTTTATAAATATCTTCATCCAATTTGTGTATTTCAGATCGCACGTTTTACAGAAGGTATGCATGTACTTCACTTACAAAGTACGATATACAAACAGTTCAACAGAGATTCCAGAGTTCCCAATTGCACCAGAAATTGCTCTAGAATTGCTTATGGCTGCCAACTTTTTAGACTGTTAAGCTAACTTTAACGTTTTTGATGTAAATCTTCCATTGTTATTGTTTTTTTCTCTCTTTTGAATGGAGGATTGTTTTACCACATAAAAAGTGAATGAAAATAATATAAATTATCTAGTGAAATCTCTTTAACTGAATTGAATTAGTAGTAAGGAACAGTTTGAAGACGTGATAATGGTTGTCTTGATAATAGGAAATTAAATAAATAAGTTATTACTATGTAATAATATTACTATGTAATAATCATTATTGTCTCTCATGGATTACTTTTTTTTAAAGTAATGAATATTCCATATCAGTTTGTACTTATTAAAGATAATTTATGTCTAGATTTTTTGTTATCACTTGTAATCTTAAAATTACAATAATATTGCATAAGCATTAACAGAGTAAAAAAAAAATCAAATCTTTTTCTTCTTTTTTTCAAACATTTAAAAAAAACAATGTGCAACTTGAAATCATTTTGCTGCCTGTTGTAAAGGATGGGTTATTTTAACAATTCATTGAAACTGTTTTACAAAATTGTTTTTCAAATGCTTAGATTTTAAAGGTGCACTTTCGTGTTGTTTAAGTGTTAGATTAGATTTTCATTTATTCTTTTTAGTTTCATATAATTTGCACTCTCTGGCTTTGTGGGAATTTAACCTTTTTGCTCTTTAATCTTTTGAGTAATAGCAGCGATTTTGATGGACTTTAGCAGTCAGTAGCCAGGTCAACTGGTACATTAGTGCAGCAATACTGATGGACTTTTAGCTGTCAGTAGTCAGGTCAACTGGAACATTAGTGCAGCAATACTGATGGACTTGAGCTGTCAGTAGTCAGGTCAACTGGTACATTAGTGCAGCAATACTGATGGACTTTAGCTGTCAGTAGTCAGGTCAACTGGTACATTAGTGCAGCAATACTGATGGACTTCAGCTGTCAGTAGTCAGGTCAACTGGTACATTAGTGCAGCAATACTGATGGACTTCAGCTGTCAGTATAACGTCAGCTTGCCTTCACATCAGCTGCTCAATTTTCTAATGATCATTTTATGAAAACAACACAATTATAGAGTACTTTTATTAATGTGTTAGTCATTGTTTCTTTGTGGGATAATTTATATCACTTGCACTTAATGTACATTATATATGGCATTATTTGAATATCTGTGTAAATGCTTTAATGCATAATGTAGATGAAATTAAAGTAAATAATACATGTATTATCTAAAACATGACTTGGAGAAAATGAATGAGGGTTTAATATTCTACCTATAAGTGTTACATTATTTTAAAAAACCTAAGTTTGTGCCTGCTTTTGTTTTTTCATGCCTAGAAATATGTATACTGTTTTGCTGTTGATGTCTGATTTTGTCATGCAATTTAAATGAAATAGAAATTTGTAATCTCTTGTTGAGGCATTTTGCTTGCTGTATGATTTTGTCACTTTGTTGTTTTGATTACAATATATTCCTATAATTTGGGTAATGTAAACATAGGTAATATTTATACTATATAAAGTACTAGTAATTAGCAACCTTAACTTTAACTTATTACCAATTTGTAATCAAAATTCCTACTCGAGTAAGAATTATTTCTATGATGTGTTTTGTACTGATATAATAGAATACAGTTGTCTTG